TGGTGATGATGGTGGAGATGGTGATGATGGTGGTGGTGATGATGGTGGTGAATGTCCAAACTAAATGAGTGTGCACTAGTAGTTCTCAAACACTTCAGGTTGAGCCATTTGAAGCTCATTCAGAGGCCATTTGACCCCAAGATCCATTCCTCCTATGCACACAGGGAGTCAAAAGGCTGGGAGGGAGGCTTTGAGAAGGCTCTTACTCACTTGCTGAGATACTGAATTTGCAGTAGTACTTTCTGGTCTGGCTCAATTCCCACCTCCTCTCGTGAGTGGCACAGGAGGGCTCCAGCCCCCAGCCCTAGGCCTCAGTGGCTACAGCCTCCTGAGCTAGTCACACACACTGTGTAGCCCAATCCCATGCCACAATTCTGCTGTCTCTTGGATGGATCTGAGGCCCATGGGGCTGTGGCTCAGACACCTCCTGTGTCCCCAGTAATGCTGGGGCTAAGCCTCAACTGGCCTTTGTTGTCTAAATTAGATGTTTACAGTCATCAAAAGCCCAAGGATTGATTGCTTCTGTCTTCTCAAATGTCCTCAGAGCCTCTCCAAACCCAGCGTGAGGACTGGTACTACTTGGTGACTAGTTTGATGTGGATGGGATAAAGCCCTATGTGAATTAGTTTAGGCATGGAGGGCCTGGGGGGTGGTTATCAGTAGTTTCATGGGGTGGGATTTTTAGGCCTGCCCAGACAACACCCAAGATCAAATCTGCTAACTCTTCCCTTTTCTCCTGCAGCAGAAGCAGCTCACAAAACACATGAAGAAATCCAAGTGCGCTCAGTCTGGGTGCCAGGCCCAGACATGGTGGCTTCTTCTAGAAATGCAAGATGTGAACCAATGCTTCCTCCCATGGTGTGTCATCCTTTATGCAAAGCACTCTCAGCCACAGATTTTCCTGTCCCAGCTTACAATGGTCCCCTGAAGAAGCTAGGCCTGGAGTTAAGAGTTTCATTTTATGGGGAAACTGAGGCGTAGGGGGAGCTGTGACTTGCCCAAGGACCCCCAGCTGATTTATGGTGGGGCCTGGACCACCATCTACTAGGTACTCCCACGACCTGGTCCAGGCATCTTCCCTTTAAATCAGCATTCCAGCAGGCATTCCTCCCCAAATGGGTCCAATCAGCTTGGGGAGGCCTTCCTCCATTCCTCCCGGAATTCCCAGAAGTTTCCAAAAGGCCTCCAAGAAGCCTCCCCATTTTGCTGTAACCCAGCACATCCCATGTTCTGGCGTCCGAGAACCCCATTTATGTAGATGCCCACAGATGCTTTCTGGAATCCCCGGGTTTGTAGGGCTCAGATGAGTTGCCTTGTTTATGACGGCTTGTGGAAATGAAAGACTCTGAACCGACCTCTGCCCTGGGCCTTTTCCCCTCTGTCCCCTTCATCCCTCCTGCCATCCTGCCAACCCTTTCCAAGGGCATTAAGCAGCTCTGACTTGGCTGGGTGGGCTTGGTCTCAGGCTCAGTGAGTTTGCATGGCCTGGAAAACTGGGGGGTAGGGGGAGGGTGTGCGTGCATTTTCTTCCAGGATTCTAGAAAATATTAACAGACAAACATCTCTGGGCCCAAACCCACACTATTTTTCTCCCTAATAAATATTCAGTCTTGGGCTAGGTCTGAAAAATCTACTGTAACAGGTTTCGGTCAGGGGAGAGGAGGCCTAAGGGCCTTGGAGGGTGGGTAACGAAGAGATGCAGAAGGGGGTCGGGCAAAGCCTGGAGGCACAGAGTTTCTGCCCTTTTTAGATGAGGTAGGACATCAGCAAGTTTCTTCTGCATGGAGAAAACGGGGAGATTTCTACAGCCAGGCTGCTGGCTAGGACATGCCTTCGTATTCCTGGGGCCTTGAGGAAAACGGTGGCTCAGAGGGCCTGGCAGGAAACAAGCCTGGCTGAGGGGACACTGAGGACAGAGCAAGGAGGCTCAGCCCCAGGGCCTTCTCAATGACTCAGCCATCTTCCCAGGCTGGAAAGGACAGAGGGCGTCTGGGCAGGGGCTCCACCCAGCAAAGACGGCGCCTTTGGCTGGCACAGCGCCCCCACAGGATTATTCCAGAGTTGGGGCATAGCGAGGGGAGAGGGTGGCTGCCGAGGGCTCCCCTAAGAAGTGGACTTGGTCTGCTCACCCTCCTCCACTGGGAGCTCAGCCCCAACCACTCTGCTCACTCAGATGCTGCCTGACCCGCTCCTGAAGGCTTTCTGGGACTCAGTGGGGCCCAGTGGTCACTGGAGTTGTTCCTAGAGCAGAAGACGGCTGTACCTCCCACACCACACTCTGTCCTTTCACCGAGCATGTTACTTCAGGGTGACGCTCCGGAAGTGCTGGGAAGCAGATGTCATGGCTCCGTGAACCCTGGTTCTACCACTTTCTAGCTGTGTGACCTTGGGCAAGCCACTTAACCTTTCTATGCCTCAGTTTCCTGGTCTATAAAACGGGCACAAGAATGATGTCCGTTTCATAGGCTTGTTGGGAGGATTAAATATTAATACGTTAATGTGCGTCAAGCACTTACAGGAGCCTCTGGCATCCAGTAAGCACTCTGTAAGTGTTTGTTAGCTCTCAGGATGGCTGTTGGAAAGGTGTCAGTGGGAAGCTGCTCCTGTTGGCCGGCAGCAGCCATCTTTCTTCAGTCTGCACAGACTTCCTACCTAATGCGCTCCCCGCGGGGCTCCACAAATCCTAGAGAGACTTGCTAGGACCCAGCCAGAGCCGGTCCCAATGAACCAAAGAAAGGCATTTCCACCCTGGTGTAGGCAGAGATGGCTACAAACGGCGCCCTACAGGGCATGGTTCCTAAAACCAAGAGAAAGGGCAGTGAGCTTCTCCCCGGACACGTCCAGGATCCCGCCCCAGGCAAGCCGCAGGCACTCCACGTTCTCGGCTTGGAGTGCTGTGCTGACAGCTCCAGCCACAAACGCCAGCAGTCACGGACCTCTGCAGAAGCTGCCTCCACAGCCACGTCTGGCCTGGGCAGGGAGGGCCAGGACCCAGGTGCCCCTCTTGGGCCCTGCTGGCAATGACGTGACAGGTCCCACCCTCAGCCAGCTGCTCTGCTGGGCATGCAGGAGACAAAGCGCAGCTCCGAGGAGCCTGAGAGGCGAGGGCTGCCTGGCTCGCTCCCTTCCTGTCTCCTGCGCCCTACGGGAGGGTCTGCTGCATGAAAAGGCGGTAATGGATGGACTAAGCCCTAACCATACTTTCTAACCATAAGCACTCCTGATGCTTTGGGTGGGCGAAGCAACTCCTCTTCCACGCTCTTCTTTTTCTTTCCCCCAATACGCTGAGTTTTCTCCCTCTTCATGGCCCTCATAGTTTTTAAAAACCTCTCATGTATTAATTTGCTGGTGTGTGTGTGTGTGTGTGTGTGTGTGTGTAATCAGCTTTCTCCACTGGTGGGAGTGCGATAGGGTGATGGGGTGGGAGTGGGCAGGGGTTCAGTGATTTGTCTCTGCATCCCTGGCGCCTTGTCTAGTTCCCAGCACACAGTAGGTGCTCAGTAAATATCTGTGAACCAGCAGTCGCTCGCTGTGCAGCCCTGGGACAGTCAATGGGTTCCAAGCCACCATCAGAGAGACTTGGGGATTTGAAAGTGCCTGCTGTACTGCAAGTGGCTCCACCATGAAAGGCTGATGCCACCAGAGCCCTGCAGCCGTGCGCATGCTCAGGCACCCAGGGCTCACTCCCTGGGAGCAGCACGCTTGCTTATTGCCTGCAATTAATGGTCTGCAGGACCGGCCAAACTGTCCTGCAGCCTTTTATTGGTCTTTTAGCCAATACTTCGTAAATCTGAGGGAAATGGCTTTCAAGTGGCTTAATGGCAAATGGATGGCAGCAGGTGATGGACTGGTGCCACGGAAGGCCAGCGGAGGCAAGGGGCTCTCCCTGTGCTTGGAGTGTGGGGGTGGCTCAAGGGAAGGGGTTTGTGGGGTGGGGGTGGGCA